CGATTGATGAGTTTTTAAACGACCGTGATACTAGTGTGCTTTGACGGTGACATTTCCATATTATCAATAATTTGACTTAACACATTTATTTGACCACTTAATTATTGTTATTGTAATTGCCTGATATTTGACCAATAAAACTGATTGTCATTAATTTATGTATTGCATGGTCTGTAGGTATCAGTTTCTGACGAAAAGTTTTGCACGCCTACCCGGCAGGATATGATGAACCTTTGTTAATTGAATTGACCAACCCTGTACTCATATTCATGCAAATAAATGATTATTATTATTATTATATCGTCACGTCGTTTAATATTTGATAAATAACAAAATTAAAATATTTTTACGTGCCTTTTTCAACCTTATAAACAATTAATTTTTTTAACTCTAGTTCGATAAATAATCACAATCGTGTCACGAGATGTAATGTGTTTGGCGTAGACTTATCGACTAATTTAAACATAATCAAGACCCGCAAGAAACAAACGATTGACACGTTTGAACTGTACTTAGCGAAACAGGCTCGAACACGCTTTCACGGCAAATTGTACAGACATGTTCCCAGTGTCATATTTATAGTACGGCTTATTTCGAATGTATACCACAAGTTCCCAAATTATATTTTGTTTTTGTTTTTATTTGTTACATACTTGGTAGAGGTCTAAAAATCAGTTTTACGTACTTTGAACTCGGTAACTTTTTTCTTTTCCGGTATTTAAAATCGGAACTTAATGCTCTCCTTGAGGTAACAAAAATGATCAATTTGAAAAAATACATTAAAATTACGTAAACATTTTTTACAGTAAAAATATTAAAAATATTGTAAAAATATGATTTTCATCAAAAATCATAAAAAAAGGCCTAACATGTAAGAAAAAATAGTGTCCTAAAATAGGACAGTGGGGAGGAATGGGTCAAAAAAGAGATGGTGATAATGACATATGTGTCTTTTTCCAAGTACCAATTTTAATCAGTACTCGAGTTCATTTAGATTATAGAAGATATTATCTATCCAGCAATTGTATAATAACCATTGCTCCATAAGTAAGTTGCTATACACTCACCTTAATCAGTAAGTTCAACCAAAGCGTAATACAATACAGCGTTAAATCATTGTGGACCGTATCGTAAATAAAAAATATGCGTGTATCTAGTAACCCTTAAGGTGAACCGTTAAGATAATCTTTTACAAATACAGTTTAAATTATATCTGAAGAAAATGCTTAATTTATACTTCTAAAGTAAATTTCTGTAAAAGAAAAATGATATAATTGTTTAATTATAATTTTTGTTTCAATAGTAACATTTTCATTAGGTAGTATCAACTCAACATAGTAAGAATAAATTAATACTGTAGGTAATCCCCGATTCAGTAGTTAGATATATAAGTTGTAGCCAGATCTAAGAATTAACCAATTAATGACGATTCATGAAGTATATTAGTATGTATCCAGAATACAAGTAAATATTTAGACATGACTGTTTGATTATCTAGTCCGGCTCGTATCCGAATATTTGCAAGTTTTTAATTAATTTAATATCGATAAAACGAGAAGGTGTGGTTAGTACTTTACCGCGGTAAGGTTTTTGAGAAAATAGTAGCTAAAGTACTGCCTTTTTTGATTTCGGTACTCATATTTCATGTTCATGATCAACTTTCTTTCATGGTTTGATCGTCCATGAACAATTTGACTGATTATGTCAGCTATAAAATAATCATCCTTAAATGATATTCTACTTGTGAATGTCTAGATCTAATAAAGTGATTTATATTTAATACTTATCCATCATAACGATCATGATTAAACTTAATTATACGGCGTACGGCCTCTTCTCAAGATTGTACTGACAACTGATTCAATTAGTCAGTGCATAAAAACAGCATGATTTCACCAAAATACCTGCACGTATTTTGTTGTTGTACATGCCCAGAAGTATTGTGATACTTGTTTTACCGGTGATCATTTTGACAGAGGCATAAATGTACCAAGGCGTGGGACGATTATCAATTTTGCATTTTATGATCAGGACCTTAATAGCTTTTATCAACCAATCTGACTACGAGTGTTAAATATGGTGATAAAATAAGGGATGTCCCATCAAAGCACAATTGGTGGTAATTTAAAATATTAGTAATATTTACTTTACCTTAGATCCATTCAAAATTAAAAAAATATTCAAAACTAGAGTGTAATACTCTAGTTTTGAAAAATAAATATTTAAAAATGACGTGTATGGCAACCATTATTCACAACTTTTTCTTTTTTTACTTTATAATGCGCAAGTCCTTCCGCATATGGAATACTGTTCTCATCTCTATGCAGGGGCACCCCAGCATTAGTTTCTCCCTCTGGACTGCATCCAATGAAGAGCGACTCGGATAGTCCATAGCAAAAAAAAGATCTCCGATTGGCGTTACACGGAGATGTACTCTCTTCATTCTCTATCGTATATATCATGGAGAGTGCCCCGAGTAATTGTTAGACTAATACCGGCCGCAACTTTCCGCCATCGTTCCATACGGAAAAAATTTCATCTCTATCACTGGGATAATTGACACTCCACCACTGTGCGCTTTTAAAGACACCTCCTTAATTACTCTTTTTAACAAATGTTGCACAAAGTTAAGAAGACGATTATTTATACTAGAGTATTTGTAGTCAATGATACTAAAGGGTGGTCTTCGCTGTATTTGACTATAACTATAAAAATGACGCGAATGGTGTACCATTCTTGGGAACATGACCATAAAAAGCCGATTGACAAATATTATATAAGACGAAAGGTGATCAGTTCGACTCTTTTGTTGGTCTATATTAAAGTAGATTTCTACTCTAAAGTTTAAGTAAACCATTATGCAGAAAATATTCCGAAGTAAAATACATAAATTTTAAAAATAATAAATAACAGAAACCTTATAGTTTTCACACTGTAGTTTTAACTCCGAATAGTATTCTTATAGGGGAGTTCCTTCTCGGTAAATAATTTCTTTCTTAGGCATTCTCTTCAATTTACAAACTTGAACCAAGGTTGTAAAACCGGTGCAACCAACTATTGCGAACGGAAGACATGCCTACAGATTTTTTTTTAATATGTTCCCCAGTATGTCCTCCAACATATTTCTTCAAACAGTATCCCGCACTCTATACTAATTGTGGCTATGTGTGTGCATAGGTTCTCTAGGATTTCTTATGTATGCTTTTTCATACAGTTTCCTTTTCAATAGAGCTACTTCCTTTACTTATTTTGATGGAGCTCGTTCCACTATATAACGTATATCTGCAGCTATTTCTGAAAGTAAGACCTATATAAATCTATTGTCTCTTATTTGGGGCTAGCTCGCAACCCGGCTTACCTATGCCAATAGCATTGAGAAATAATCTGTAAATAATAAACGAGTATTTATTAAATATTTGTAGATTTTTTATTTCCCTTTACTGGCCCTGAGATATCAGTTCAAGGTACAAAATAATAATAAAACATGCAAACTAGAACCTCTACTAGTATATCACTAAACAAAAGAAAACGGTTGCTGTCAATAAGAAATATTAAAAAAGAAGAAACGAAGATAACGAAGTTGTATTCTAAAATCCTTTGTAGCACAGAGATAGTTACTGAAAATTCTAGCTCATGTATTGAAATCATTGTATAGTAGGCCAAAACCTACATTCAAAGAAGAGACCTGTATCCAGCAGTAGTCTGTTTAAGGCTGGTAATAATGATAGTTATTGAAATCTAATTTTAATACCTAACCTATTTGTAAATACGAATATCTAAAAAACCTTACGTTACTCATACCAAATTCGATAATGAAAAAACCTTTTAACCACTATTTTAATATTGAATTGGCTGTGTTTTTCCGTTAAGCTTTATTAAAGTATGTCACAAGTATGAGCTTACGACTGGTTTGTAAGATCCGCCTGCGCTGATGTGACTACGAGTTAAGGTTGAATTTATTGCCTTACATAATATGTCGTTTACATTAACAACTTTTAAAGTTTTTTTTTTATTTTTTTCTGATCATGATGAAAGATTTTTTATAGTTATTATACATTTAAGTCAAACTTACCCTTGTTATGTTATTTAGAAACATCACATTGTTAGTACATGCGTCGCCACAATTGATCTGATTTTTCTGTTTAATTACTGAATAGTTTTTTCGTGAACCTTAGTTCGGTTTGAATTAACACCTGGATAAAAAAAAAATACACGAGAGTAGTAATTTTTCATGAAAGGTATCCTATTTTATTTTTTATACACACAAAAAGGTGTCAATGCTCAACCACTGGCCTGTTTCCTTAATTTACTTTTTATTCACTACACCGCGCTGATGAAATAAAAATTTCACACGCATAATAATTTTACATAGTAACAACTTCCAATTTTATATGCGTGTCACATTTCAATATAAGACTTATTGGTTACAGGATTAAGTTCTCTTTTGTGAAATTATAGTTGAATAAGGGCTGTCCTTCATGGTGCAGATGTTATGATCATAAAATATATACTGAATTCACCGTGATGCGTAATTGCGACAAAGTTTTGGGTATAAATACTGAGGGTGAATCAGAAATGCATCATTACATTCCATTTTGTACTACAAGTATCCCTCTTTCTCCGTACTTGTTTCATAATGAAGTGTGGTGTAAGTTTTTTAATTTTTTTTATTAGAAAGTTATTAATAGGTAGAAAAATAGAGTATCATGTGATGTATATAATTGGAAACATAAGTTATAATAAGTAAAAAAGCACAAAAGATTTCACGTCGAATCTTTTAACACCCAGGTTTAGTTATTTTAAAACCCCCTTATTTTAAAACTGTTTGTCGCTAGTGAGGTAATCTTATCAACGTCTCTTCAAATTTGGGAATTAATATAAAGTATAGCAGTGTTTCTGCGAAACTTGTTCTGTTCTTTTTGTTAAACTTTTAAAAATCAAACACTTTACGTCAGTAATATAATTTTAACTGGTTTTTACAGTTTTTATTAACCTTCATAATGGGTGCAGCGTTTGCTGACGTCAGCAGTTTTCAGCCTTTCCAACAACAGGTTCTATTTCAACATCAGCAACAAGAAGCGCAGTATAGCACGGAGCCTATTCCTATTATCAGACAGGAGCAAGTTCTCAATCCTGATGGATCTTATAAATGGAGGTATGTTTTAAAAAAAAATCTTATAGGCAACAGAAGAGTTTAGATTTATCAAAGTAATTAAATTTATTTTGAATTGTACGATGAATGTTAAAAGAGTAGTGCAATATCAGGCCTAGGAGTGGCAACAAATTTGATGATATTAAGAAAATATATTATTATTGATTATTTCCAAATTATTGTCATTTTTGTTGGCGCTGTATAAGTTTGTAAAAACATTTTGATTTAATAAGTTCTGGTCTCGATTTTGTTCAACTCGATAGTTCGTAATGGGATTTTTTGCCAGTTTTAACAACAGTACGGTAATAAGTCAGTACTTTATAAATGATTAAACACTGTACTCTAACATTGTACACGGACTTCGAAAAACAGACACCTCTGCGGTTTGTTTCGGCATTTCTTCCCAGAGTGAGTCTTAGGAAATGCGGCGCCTTCTAGCTGTAAAGTACGACTTTAAAAATGTCTGAAACGATTTACTTGCAGTAATAAATAAATAATGCAACTGTTTGAAATACAGTGGTGATGATAAAGGTTATTTAGAGATTTAGATTTTTTAAATACTTTTCTGTGGATATTACTTTTTACAGTACACTGACTGTAATTAATAATTTGATTCACAAATCAATCTGGTAATTCTGATTTTTTTCACAATGGTACTTTTTTCTTTCGCCGGCTATCACGTCTCCAATGGCTATTACTGTTTATGCGTATACGCTATTTTTGTTATTTGTCATATTGCCAACTGTAGGAATGATTACATTTATTTTACGGTTAAAATTAATTGTAGTTAGTATTCTGTAATTTCCTGTAGATAATATCTAGTATAATTCAGTTGGAAAATCACTTAATTCAGTTCTCTGGGATAAAATTCTTTACAACAAATACATATCTATAAAACCTCAACTTTAAAGTAAATAAATATTTAACATAATAATATAATTTATCATCGGCCTATGTCCACATGTTAATACAAGTAGCTACTATAACCAGAGAAATATTGACAAATTAAATTATAAAAACTGCCCCAAGAAAGCTAAAAAAACCTTATAAGTGTAAAATAATATTTAAGGTTTAGATGTGTTAATCTAACTAAATGAACTCATACACTTTCACACGTTCGTGCCAGGAAGTAAATTTCTTAATAGATATCAAAATGAAACGAGAATAGTGGAATCTGCAGTAGTAATTTAAATTTGTAAACATACTTGATTTTTATTATTCCAGCTATGAAACTGGTAACGGTATCTCCGCTGAGGAGCAGGGGTATGTGAAGAATCTTGGCATCCCAGAACAGGAAGCACAAACAGCGCAAGGCCAGTATCAATACACAGCACCCGATGGACAGGTAATTTTATATTCAAACATAGGTACATATAATAAGGTGAACCACCCCTTGCATATGCCTAAGCATGGACCCATAGTTTTAAGCGCAGACAAGAAAGCAGGTGTGCGTAAAAGAAACAAATACAAATATTTCAAGAACATGATTTCAGTTAGACATGAGATGTTTTATTTTCTTGGCTTTTTGTTTGCTTGTTCTTTTGAATGTCAAGGCTTCCAAGACGAGTTGCCGGTTTAACAAAACTGCAAATTTGACCATCTGTAGATCGTTTTATCACATCAGAAAGCAAATTAGCTTATAAATAAATATTTAACTAGCTATACGCAACCTGGTCGAAACTTCAGACAATTTAAAGATGTGTAACACCTATGACGTGATTCCGTTAAGCATACGAGGCTTAACGGAACGTATATATAATTATATATGATGAAATTCGAAAGGCTAAGAGATAGTATGGGCAGATATCTTTAGAATTATTAATAGGATGGTTAGCTATAATAATGTTGTATGATATAACTTATTCCTTTCCATGTTTCAATATGAAAATTATGCAGATACTAATCGCATTAAATCAGTTTAAAAAGCTGATTTTTTATACTAGTCATTATATCAAGGTAATCCCAAACAGCTTCAGTTCGAATAAGACAATAATGAGCATCGCTCTGCTATGAAGGAAGGCTATCGACAATGACAACTTATATAAACACTAATGATATTGCGAGAAATTAAATATCATTGGCTGTATTATAACTTGTTCTCATTCAAAACCAAAATAGATATTTTAATATTTTTCATTTGAATTCGTCACATTTTAGTATGCTATTTGCATGAAAATAATAGTTTTAATCAATACTTTGACCATGGCCATATAATCAAAAATGATTTATTCTAGTGTAGGCGTTTATTTAAATAAATTTTATTATTACGGTCAACTAGTATCCATTATGGATACTAGTTGGCCGTTTATAGCGTAAGCTTTAGACTTTCAGATTTAATTTGCGTATTTTAATGATATTATAGCGCCACAAGCTTTTCTTGATTGCTTTTGTAGAACAACGTAGCACGGGCTAGCAGCAACTCTAGCTAGTTTAGATACAATCAAGTTTTTTCACTTTGCACTAGATGGCATTAGCGGTTTAGTGATGGCTCAGGTTTGTTATATCGTCGTCATTGATTTACATGACGTGTTGTGTTGCACATAGTAATTCTCAGATAACCTTTAAGTATATCCGTCATATGACAAATTCTTAATTTTAATTTTCTCACAATCAAACATAAATATAGCAATTTTGTTTTCTCATCTTTTATGATAATGAGTTATGTATTGACATTAATCTCCATAGAATGACATTGACGAATAGTTATTTATCATCATCATTTTGGCTACTTGTTTATTTATTTTTAAATCTTTCAATATTTAAATAAAGTCTAAATTTGGTATTTATAACGATATAAATGATATTCTCCTTGCTATCGCTAAATGATTTTTCTGGTTAAAAATACCCAAAGACGGACCCTACACTAAAGAGTAGGTGCAAGATATTGCACGTGTATAGATTGGTTTGTAACAAATGGGTTTCCGAATCCATACCTACATTATATTTAAGTTTACAAGGTGTACAAATAGTACGAAGGAATTAAAAATATTTAAATTATGTACCTTAATCATTTTACAGTATGTATCCAATTAAGTATATTAATATACATAGGTAAATTATCTTTTACCTGTCATTATGTATCATCAGCACAAGTTTTAGGTGAGAATGAAGTTTGTATTATTATCGTGACGTCATTAATGTCTAATGCCGTTTTGTTTTTCGTTTAGGTGATCCAATTGCAGTATTTAGCAGACGAAAACGGATTTCAGCCTCAAGGGGCTCATTTACCAACACCTCCGCCTGTACCTCGAGAAATTCAGAGCGCCCTAGACTACCTGGCAACGTTACCTCCGCCAAATCCAGAAAATAGCAAATACGGAAGAAATTAGAAAGCAAATCAGACGTTAGACGAATCGTTTGAGATTGGAACAATATAAGCATGCTTATGTTATTGGTGAATTCTTGTCTTACAAAAAATATAAAACAGTTGTTATACAATATGTCTGTAGGTGAATAGTTATTACATTGATATTCTTGTATATTTTTATGCATAATATATTGGTTGATTTTATGTTAATGGAATATTTATAATACCGGTTTTTAAGCATCAGATCATCGTTACTTGTCTAACTGATTATATTTAAAGTATGGATTTAAATTAAATACAAGACATAAAAAAAATGCTCAAAATTTGCAATGATAAAATCCCACAAATGTTGGGACCCACATCGATCTTATTCTAACATTTTAACAGTACATATTTAAACTCAATTGGGAATCTGTTCTCTTCAAATTATAATTATACAGCTACTATTATAAGAGAGAACAAGCCCGTATTTTAATTGCGCAAACAGAAAAAAAAACATTGAATGTGTTGCTGTTAAACCCTCAATTAAAAACCGTTTATTTCGACTTAATAATTCCATTTCGTAAGTCAGCGGATCAAATATTTGTTTCTTCGTTTACAAGGTTAGCCTACTAATAATAGTAATGATTTCTGCCTTTTTAACTGGCAGTTCTTATAGTGTTCTGCGTTTAGCTACTTATTGTTATTATTTATGAGTTAACTATACTTTGAAGGAGAATGCCCAGTTCAGTATGGAAACCAGTTTCACTCTTTTTTTTACGATGTCAAATAGGTAGGTAGGATGTCAACTGCATTATTAAGCCTCCATTGAGTATTATCTGAATCATTCACATATATTGTAACAGAACTTGTGGTTATTAAGAAATACAATTTTAACAAAAAGATAATGTTGTGACACTGACGTTAAAGTTATGTTATAGTTATGTATGGTGTTTGTGGCATCGTGTTTGTGACAGGGATACCATGTAGAAATTAAGACAAAAAGTAACAGTGAAGTATACATTCACTAAATAAGCTACGACTACATACACGAAAAATTAAGATTAGTAAACTGAAATATATGAATGTGACATTACGAATTATTATCATGTATATTATTTTATTTAACCACTTTATTTTAAAACGATATTTATTTGCAATGAACCATAATTGGTTTATTTTATATAATTCCAACATTTAAATTAAAATAGAAACGGTCATTGATTCAAGTTTTAGTCCTTGTAAGATTTAATTTCAAACCTTAAGGTCTATAGAAGAGATGCCGGGTCGAAAAGTCAAATTAAAATGATTTTTTTTAACATTTGAAATAATGACGCGAACGTCTAAAAGTGAAACAATGAATGGATTTCTCCTTGAATGATGGAATTCTCATTTAGTTGTACGTAGATGCCAAGTCATTCATTCATTCATTTACATCATCAACAGCCTTTAATAGTCCACTGCTGGACATAAGGCTCTCCTTAGAAAGGAGAGGCTTATGTCCAGCTTACAGCTGTTGAGGCTTACATTTACATGGTCATTATAAAATGTTGCTTGTGCCAGAATCTTTGACGGAGACGAAGGACTCCGCTGTGGCTGGTTGGTTTATATTTTTCTTACTGCAACCTAACTTGAAAATGATTTCGTAAAAGCCATGTCCTATCATGGCCCGAGTTGTCAGTGGAAAAGGAAATATTAAGAAACGGTTCTGCCTGTCATCTTTGGGTTTTAGTTGGGATTCTTAGTTTAAAAAGCTCTTACTGCTAAATCTATGAGCTTTGATAGCCGGCTGATCTAAGTATAATTCGAATTGTGAATTAACGAATCTTCATGGATTTATTTGGTAACCCTCGGTTTCGTAGTATGAAAGCCATTAACAGGTTTCCAAGGTTTCCAAAGATTAACTAACTTTGTTACTTACTCTGTAAATAAGAATTTAACCATTCAACTTTCTTGTAAATAATATTTTTTTTATCATAATTTAAGAGTATTGTTACTTTCTAATTGCATACAAGCTACCGATCAAGACTTGATTAGACACGTAGTCATACTTTCAAAGATTGAATACATATAGAATGCAGTTATTAAAAGGACGGTCTGGCATGTTAAGGAGACCTGCATTCAGGTCAAAGTAACACACATCGCCATAATCAATTATAGGGATAATTAGAGACTGCATGAGATAAATTTTCGTTTTAGGACGTAGGAAATTCTTAAGACTTTATAACAGTTTGTGGTTACTTTCTGACTCACATGAGTAAAATAAGCACGGAAATCTCGAGTTGAATCGATGAGCAGGCCTAGGTCTTTGACTACCGGGCTCCAAGGTATATCTGAGCCGTTAAAGACGACCGGTGGGATTAAAGCTGCATCTAATCTGGTTATCAAAATTTTGCCGCCTACTATGATTGCCTGGCATTTGGTGGTGTTCACTGACAATCCGAATCTCGTTGACCAGGATTTACTGTCTGTTTCTAGGGTACCGTAACCTTTAACCGGAACCCTTGAAGTTTCAACGTTTCATGGTTCCCGACATAGCGAGCTTCATAATGCACTGCCCATTCAATATGATTTGGTTTCATTCAAATTTATAGAATGAAATACCAACACTAAGGGTAAAAATCTAGGAATGAAATATACAGTTTATTACAATTCATCATGATGTAGGCGTAATTGAATTCGGTGATACTTTGTCTCATATAAAGTAAATTATTGGATTGAAAAATCTGCATAAAATAATAATAACCTCACACATCTCACATACGGCTGTCTGGTGCCAAACTACGTAGACCCTGTGCTATGGTAACCAGACTGCTGATAAACATACTTCTAAATACATACATGTCATAGATAAACTCTGGGATACATTATTTTAAATAAAAAATTATGTATACTTAAAAATATGTGTACGTGTCTGAAGAAAATATCATTGGCTGTTTTTTAACGCAGGGGTTTGCCCCTGAGCAGACGGATCACTAAATGGTTTTCTTGAAGGTCGTATCATCTGGAAATACCGCATATATTTTGTACGCAAATTCTGATAGTTAATACTAGTTTAAAGTTGGAACTGGCTTTGGGAAGGAGGTTTAATTTGTGTTCATGTCCTAGCTGTCTGAAGTTCGCGCGACGTGACCCCTTACTCAACAACCGGTCTGTTCACTTTCCCTAGAACACGCGTGTCAAGGTCGCGTGAACATCGCGATGCTGCTGCCGGCGGAGGTCCAGCACGAAAGATAGATGAAATTTTCAAAATTAACTTAATCCAGTATTCGGATTGCGAAGGTTTTATCAATTTTGCACAACTTGTTTATGTATTTGAAGTTTCTAAGATTCATTTTTCTCTCAAAGCTCAAGTTAAAATATGTTTTTTTGTGGTTTCCATTCATGAATACTCAATAAAGATTTGTATGGTATGAAAAATAGTTTTATCGCACTTATATAAATCGTAAAAAAATATATTTAAAAGAAAAACTAGCTATACCCTGCCACTCTTCGCTGTGGCACAATGTGGTTGCATAGATGATAAATAAGTAATAAAGGTGACGTGAAAAATAGGAAAAAAAAACATCTTTAAGGCTTGTATAGAACTTGTTAAATTTTTGAAGCGTACACAAAATAACTTAACATTTTGATTAATATGGATAAACAAAAAAAAAATTTAGAAGGCAGAGGAAATAAATGTAATAATCCCACATATATCAAGCGAAACGTATGATATCTCTAGCATTGCCTTTACTTGGATCGTTATCACCTTTTCTTATCAATAATTTACAGAAAAACAATGTTTGTTTCACGAGTAAAATAAAAAAGATTCTATTTTAATTTTATTTCCTATTTGCTTACTTCTACTTACTTCATTTGAAGTAATTCAACGATTTCACTGCTGTATGAATACAATAAATAGCGATTCTAACAAATGTTGCTCCATTGCTGGACGGAAGTTGCCTCTCAGTATTTAAGGTCATAGTGCAACATGATATTCAAATGTTAGTTATACGAACAAAGATATAATCTAAAACTTCATATAGAAACTTTCTTTGAGCATAAACACAGATTGTGCATTTCTTGGAATTCTAAAGGAAAGACGTTTGTCAGCTGCTTTAGTGAGTAATATCACAAGAATCTCTATCCGTGTTTGCGTCCAGTAAATGCAGAACGATGATTTTTCTGTCTCGTCCTATATAATGATATGCATAAATGATTAATAAAATGCATAAATGTATTAGTTGTAAGTTGCAGTTGTATTACTCATAATGTTGAGTACAATTTTAGCTGTCAGCACTCCTTCAATGATATCATCAATAAATATATAAAATAAAAAACTTCATGAAGTATAAAACTACTGTTTATTTATGACTATGTATATTACCTTTCAAAACCTTTGACATTTTCACAAGAAACTATAAATGTGAATTGACTTAATCGATGAGCAACGTTTTTGTTGGCATGCACTACCCACATTTAGTTGCTAATCACTTGACCGATATTGACGTGTCCTTTGTTTGATATGTTGATGAGATAGGAAGGATAGGAAAACACTAAGAAATGGCTGCTATGTGAACAAATATATAATGGTAATTTTAAATGCCAAAGATTCATCAAGTTATCATAGCAACACACAAGTGACCCGAGTCTCACGCCACTCCCAACAAATTAATATAGATGTGCGTTTTCATATGAGAGCCCGAATACATTCAATTCGTTATTAGAGCCTAGAATGTGATTTACATAACAGATCTGAGTGAATCCTTTGTCAACTGCATACTCTATTCAGTACGGTGGTGTACCTTGTGTAATGGATATTTTTGAGTATAGAATTTATAATAGATGACTTTTTTCTACGTAATCATAAATCAATAAATCTGATCACATAGATGCACATGTATATATACGAACATATATGAGAGCTGTAATAAGTTAATGTATAATGATTATATTACAACAAACGTTATTACAACTATGACATGTATTGCATGGCATTATAAATCACAGGTAATTTATCATAAACATTCAGATGCTTTTCAGTTGGATATTATCAATGTCAAAAAAAAAACTACTTACTATGCGAGAAAAATAATTACAATAAAAGTAATAATTTTGTGATTGAAACATGTAGTGCAGGAACGATCCTATCTATGTAGTTGTTAAAGTTATAGTATTAATGTTATAATATCTTTCATTATATATAATGTAATTAGAAATCCTTCCAATAATACAGCTGACAATCTGTATCAATATTACAAAAAAATACAGTTCTTTTTTGTAATATTAATACCGATTATGTTGGTGGTGATTTCTGAATATGACGGTTAAATTTCATTATTTTTGTTAATTAAGCATAAGTTTTTAAAACCCAAGCTACTCTAATCAAAATAGGATATTGACTCCTAATTTGTTGAAGAAGATAATAATAATATAATATTCTACCACATACACACAACGCCATCTAGTCCCAAACTAAGCAGAGCTTGTACTATGGGTACTAGACAACTGATATAAATACATATATACTTTTTTTTTATGATGCAACTAAGTTAGATTTTTAGTGCTCGTTTTTAATATATCACGCTATATGACCTTTCTGTTACGCCTATAGCTCATACTAGCAAGCTTCATAATTGCTTTGTTTTTAAATTTAGGAAGTTTTTTAGCTGATACCAAGCAATTGTTTTTGAATAATGTATTGTCTGTTGGCTGTTCGTCGTTTAGCGTTATACGAGTATAACCGTAAGTCTGGGGTAAGAAATCCCATGGTTGTTTCTCCGTCCTATGATTGAAGAGGGGCATCAACTGGATGATGATCATGATGATCATGTCAAAATTCCTAAACATAAAATTTTAAACGTCTTTTTCAATTTATCGAGCTGAATGAGATAACAGATTTAGATATTCCACATTACTTGGCATATTTAAGAACTGCACAGCTAAGGCTTAAGTCAAGAGTAACACGGCATGTGTACAATGAATTTTTTCATCATCAGCCTATCGCAGTCCACTGCTGGACATAGGCCTCTCCCATTGCACGCCACTTAGATCGATTTTGGGCTTCTCGCATCCAGCTCCTGCCAGCCATCTTGCTCAAATCGTCACTCCACCTGGCCTGTGGTCGTCCTACACTACGTTTGCCGAGACGCGGTCTCCACTCAAGAACTCGTTTTCCCCAACGGTTATCGGTTCTGCGGCTAATATGGCCAGCCCACTGCCACTTCAGCTTGCTGATCCGGTACGCTATGTCGGTGACCTTAGTTCTCTGCCGGATCACCTCATTTCTGATGCGATCCCTTAGAGAAACGCCGAGCATAGCTCTTTCCATAGCACGTTGAGCGACTTTGAACTTGTGGACCAGCCGTACCGTAAGTGTCCACGTTTCAGCTCCGTATGTCATGACGGGTAGGACGCACTCATTAAAGACTTTCGTCTTCGGGGGTAAACCCGTACTAAGGGAGCTCCAAAAGCTCTTCAACGCTGTCCTGTTTGAAGGGAGAACTCCAGAAGCGTGGAGTAGGAGTGTGGTCGTCTTGTTCTTCAAAAAGGGTGACAAGACCAGGTTGAAGAACTATCGACCCATATCCCTTCTAAGCCACGTCTACAAGCTGTTTTCGAGAGTCATCACGAACCGTCTTGCGCAAAGACTCGACGAATTCCAACCACCGGAGCGAGCTGGGTTTCGGAGCAGATATGGCACCATAGACCACATCCACACAGTGCGGCAGATTATACAGAAGACCGAAGAATATAATCAGCCCCTGTGTCTAGCATTCGTGGACTATGAGAAAGCCTTTGACTCGATCGAGATCTGGTCTGTTCTGGAGTCCCTGCAGCGTTGCCAAGTAGATTGGCGATACATCCAAGTGATGAGATGTCTCTACGAAGCCGCCACCATGTCCGTCCAAGTACAGAATCAGCAAACAAGGCCCGTACCATTGCATCGAGGAGTGAGATACGGGGACGTTATTTCCCCGAAATTGTTCACAAATGCAATGGAGGACATGTTCAAGACGCTGCACTGGAAAGGGCGTGGCATCAATATCAATGGCGAATACATCCCTCACTTGCGATTTGCAGATGACATCGCCATCATGGCAGAGACGTTGCAGGACCTACAGCAAATGCTGAATGACTTAGCTGACACTTCTGTACGCATCGGCCTACGGATGAACTTGGATAAAACCAAGGTCATGTTTAACGAACATGTACTACCGGAACCGATTGCGGTACACGGTGCCGTTCTCGAAGTTGTTCAAAATTATGTGTACCTCGGGCAGACATTGCAGTTAGGTAGAAACAACTTCGAGGACGAGGTGAACAGAAGAATTCGGTTGGGTTGGGCAGCGTTTGGGAAGCTACGTCGAGTCTTCTCATCGTCGATCCCACAGTGCCTTAAGACGAATGAATTTTTTATGGTTTTAAAAGATTTATTTAAATGGCAATGATTTCCTCTGATGTTTTTTTTTCAGTTTTATTAGTTAGGTACTTAGTAGTTAGTATTATATAGTTCCATCTGTCTACATTCGTGTGTACATCATTGTCGTAAAATATTTCCACACATTCCTAGCGATGACCTAGTATGAAGCAAATTTCAATAGTTAATAAATACGAATTGATTATTATACCATACTTGTGAAACTTTAAGCTCCCCAAAGGCAACTGACATGTAATGTAGGAGGCCAGTGAACGGTTGGAAGCAAATAAAGTAAAAGTTCTGAAATTATCTGAGTGTGCACGTGATATTTCACCGCTAGTGAATTTATAAACTAAATTTACACGTGCCACTTACTGTTCCACACAATGTAATTTGTCAATTCACAAATGTCATATCCGTGAACTAGATAGATATGTATGAAGTATAGATTATTGGTTCAAAACGAATCTGGTGAGATTCGTTACTCATTCTCAGTCAAAAAAGAGAATTCTTTCTTGTCTATTGCGAATTTTAATATCACATTAGCAGGTAGTAGTTTATTTCATTATTTTTTAACGTTTGTTAAATAGTAGTCAATGTATGATGCCGTGTAACTACATGTTATTAATAATAATATATTTTATTTATAACCATTTTTTGATCCCCGATATCCAAATGTGCAAAGCATCTACATTAGTTAGGCAGTCCGAAAAACAGGATGTACGATAAAAAAATTGCCTAAAGACATTCTTACTTCCGTATTAGCAAATGACAAACCAGTATGCAAATACACATTGTAAATTTGAGTGGAATTTTGTGAACGAAAAAAAAGAAGCTAGCAGACTTGATTACACCTAAGGTGGATTTATCAATAGGTACGTAGGATGATATCTGTGTAGAAACTTAACTGTGTAGAAACCAACCAATACTTCTTGTCATCATTTGTTTGTGATATATATTTCATGATATTAATTCAGTATTTACTAGTAAAATGACATAACTCTGCTAATTAAAATTATTGAAATCTTCTTCCCGCGCTTATTGCTTGACGTATGTTTGTGTGTTTCATAGCTAGAACCTATTAGATATATGATAAGATAAATTTTCAATACATATATTCTCACGTATAAGTATTGTTATTGTCTTCTTTAAAATTCTTCAAATGACTTTCTTTTCACAAGAACCGCTGATGTATGAGTTAATGGTTTAATTTATTTTTATTAAATTAGGACACGCTGCGGCAAGGATAAATATATACATAAATTCAAGTTCAAGTATTGCAATCATTGGTTAGTCTTTCTTCAAGCATACATGTACTGAACTTTGTATATGGGTTATTTACTTAATAGCTACATTGAGATGATATTGGTGTTCGGCGCATGTCAATGAAGAGATTTATCATAATCACGCATCTGCTACGTAAACTTCACCTCGAAAATATACGGTTCGCGAGTATGTTTATGATAATTAATGATATGAGTTTATTGCCTAATCTAAATGTATGTATTATTGTTTTCATAATTTCGTCATCATCAGCCTACTGCCGTCTACTGCTGAACGAAGGCCTCCCCCAAGGAATAAGAATTTATTAAGTTAATGCTGCTGTAAAATAAAGTTGTGAATTGTGGAAAGATGCACATAAACGTCTGCGACGAATTCGGCCGTGGTTAAGTGCCAATTTGTGGGAGTATAAATGTTTTGTGCAAACATCTGCTCTTGCGCTACTAAGGCCGAAACTGAACAAATGGAAATCCGTTAAGTTTGTTGACAACCATTACGTCGTCCCGCCAAGTTGACATACACGAGGCGAGCTAATGCATTCGTGTTTACTTATTTCATCGATTTTTGCGACACACAAAGAATTATGGTGAAACTAGGATATGGAGAGGTGGTCAATTGTGATAAGTATAAAAACACTATTTTTCAGGATTGAAGACATCAGTCGACAACAGTTACCGCTGCTTGTTAAACCACCACCAAACCTTAACAAAATGAAATCTATTGTAAGTGTTCATTCAATAAGTGTTTAAAGTGTCTTTAGAACAAATTGTTTTGTGTACTACGATGAAAATACCTTCAATGAAAGATAGAGACCAAACTCGAATGAACATAACTAAAATATAAAATATACAATTATTCATAAATTAATTCATACTTTTGCTTTTACGCTTACACAAACAGTTTTTTAACGTGCATATATTTACCAAATTATAATTTTGCCATCACAGGTGCTGGTTTGTGCGCTCATCGCTGCAGCTTACGCTGCCCCGCAAGGTTCTTCTACTGAACCGATTCCCATTGTGAAGGATGAAAGTCAGATCAATGGCGATGGTTCTTACCAATATGCTTACGAAACTGGCAACGGCATCGTCGCAGACGAGAAGGGCGAACTTAAACAAGTTGGTGACGTCCAGGCGATCTCAGTGCAGGGCGAGTACTCCTACCCCGGCGAGAATGGCGAAACCATCCACATTTCTTATACCGCTGATGACCAGGGCTTCCACCCACAGGGTGACCATTTGCCAACTGCCCCGCCAGTACCAGAAGCCATCCAGCGTTCCCTTCAGTATATTGCTTCAGCGCCTGCATCCGCTGACGCTTCCGCACAACCCAGTAAATAGATTTCATGTTGGCTGATGCAACAATACTCAAAATCACTTTATAGTGATATGTATTTTATAATTTTCTACCATGAATAAACTAAATGACTTCAAATAAAAATGTACTTTTGTTATTAAACTAGCCATGACTTTTACAATACCTTTCGAATAATTTATATTAATTAATGGAACTGGTTTATCTATACAACAATTTTTATTATTCGTAAGTAAATTTTTACTCTCTTTTCCTCATCTTGTTCTAATGTCAAGGACAAACGACAACTTAAATCATATGAATAAATTTAAAAGAGGACTGGATCTACCAGTTTATCAGCTTATTATTATGGCCGATTTGTTTAAACTCAATAATATATTCAAAATCAAGATACAAATTAAAAAAACAAGAAATATTTTCGATTTTAATATTTCGAATTATTCTCATCCCTTGGCTCGTTACAAAATGTCATCATCATCAGCCTATCGCAGCGTACTGCTGGATATAGGCCTCTCCAGTTGCACGATGTCTATATTGAAATTATGTTACAAAATCCTAGATCTTCATATTGACAACATAGGCAATAAAGCATATAAGCTTCAAAAAGCCTTCCGCCTCAACTGTATACATCATTAGTTCGTTCAGAATTAGAGTATGTAGTGGCGATCTGGAACCCCTTCTACAACAAATATCTACATATTTGTTGTAGAAGGGGTCCCAGATTTTCTATATCTATCTATCTATATGATTGAAATTGTCCAATGTAAATACTTACGTGCAATGCCCTATCCGTTCGACGATGCGTCGCATCTTAGACACAACAAAATATTCATCAATGTTGATATTTTTGCCAACTTAATAAGCAAGTTCAAAGGTTTTTTATGCTATTTAATGTTATGTTATTTAATCTAATGCTTTACATTACATTAAATAGCATATCCGAATTAGTGTTTATCCTAGTCCTAATTTAAATAATTCGCACTAAGAAACTGCATAACTTTGACGACTAAAGTAGTGGTCTGAGCGCCTGCACAATGATAAAGCTAGCACGTGGAGCCTCATATTCCAACCTGTACAAATGTGAGCGTGCTTAATATTTTATTTTATAGTTACTTCTGTTAATATTTGAAAAAGTTCGTGATCTACAATATAACATAAGTACACTATTTGTTTAGATTATTTTGTAAAACTGCATGTTTTAGGTGTTTGTTATTCCTATTAAATAATAATAAAAAAAAGTAAGAGTACCAAACACTTTAGCATATAAGTCCATTAACTTATGTAAATTTGAATTATATATTAGCCAACAATTTGATCGAAATATTGAAAATATGTACAAAGTATAAACTAATAAATAGTAATTTGTAGGTCATAATTTCATGATTCTAAATTCGACAAGCGGTATTAAGTGTAACGTAATTTCATTTAACTAAGGTCTTCATTGAAGTGTAAAAAAAAATACCATGAACATTTTCATGGACTATAATATTACTGTTATATTCTCATTCTTAATAAATATTATGTTTTATCTAATTATGATTAAAAGGTAACAAACAAAAGAGACACACACTGTTTTTAAAAGGCTGATTATTTTACATTCTTAGCATATAATAGCAATAAGAGAAAATTAAGAGCGGTAGCCAGTCAGTTTCTTGAAAAGTACAAAGAATTCGCTACCAACGTGCAAATAGTTTTTGACATAACATTTTAAAGTAAAATTTGGCAGCTCTGTTGATAGATCGGATTATCAAATTAATGTGACTGACAAATATAATGCTTTCACCCATAGAACAGAGAATATAATTTTCTGTTCTATGGGCTCGATTCCCTCTTACGAGTTCCAAACCAATGTTTTATTCAAAGGTTTATTTGTGCTAATCAATGGAAAATAGTGTAATGAGTATCAAAACCAAGAATAAGGCACATCTTTGTAAGAGTGTGATGATGATGATATAATTAGCTACAAAAATGTGTGTACCTATATATATATATTTAGATCTCCAAATGTTTTTTGACAGCGAATATGTATTAAATAAAAAAACAGAATTAACAGATTGTGATAAAAGTAAAAATTAATGCAATTTAGATATTCATGAATATTTATATGACATTTTGATAAATATAGTTAGGGTGTATTATTTAAATTACAGTGGTTATGTTTAACATGTACTATACGAGAGCCAATTACGTTGCAGAAGAGATAGTATTTTTTACCGCCAGCATTTAATCAACACCAAGATAACTAATAAAATTGTATGTATTTACATAGGTTATTAGGTATAAAATAAGCCCAACGTACTATTTTATGATAAGACGACCTTGTAATACTGGTTTTGTAAAACTGGTAATGTATTTAATATTTGAAGACATCTTTTTATTGGAATTATTGCATAAAATTATCGTTGTACAAACATGTTATAAAGTTTACCTAATCATTTAAAAATAACCGACAACATGAGATCACTATGTCAAGCGATTGAAATAATAGCCCTAGGATTTACTTACAGCATTACAATTTCTATATGGGTCTGTTTTCATATTATTTTAAAGTTACTGTATAATTTTCCCTAATAAATTAAACATTACGTGTACTAATTAACTTATTAGCAGTAATTTTAATGATAAAAGAAGTTGGTGACTTTCCATGTTCATTTTCAATTATTTTTGTCAGATAAATTGTTAATAATGTTGTTAATGACCATCATAAGTTGTATCATGTTTTTTAAGGTCATTTGACATATTTAAAATATGTACCTATCAATGTTGTCTTTCAAACCACCTAAAAATAATTTGTCCGTTTAAATTAAAATTATAGAGTATTTCAACCATTTGCAGACTATGACCAATGAGTGATGAATGATTAAAACATGATGCTGCAGAAAATACACAATCGCTTTGACTGTTATCTGTAGGCACGCACATATTTCTTTGAATTTATTTCATCGTGCCAAATGGTGCAATAGCATCCAGAGGTGGTAGGCGTCATATTGATCCGTCTGTATATATACCGATACACTGTTAGATCAACATTGTCTAGTGCTTTCGCCGACAAACAAACATCACAAACATGAAAACCATAGTAAGTTATTGTGATAGTGACTTAGTACTAACTGGATTTGAAAAAGTGTCTTGTGATTACAGTGTTCTGTGGCAGAAAGTTGGATCTTTATAAAGTAAGCTATTAGGCATCCCTAACCAATTCTTTTGTTCCAGATCTTCCTCGGTTTCCTAGCAGTCGCACTTGCCGCTCCCCAAGGCAATGAGCCCATTCCTATAGTAAAACAAGTTAGTGAAATCAACCCTGATGGTTCCTACTCTTATTCATACGAAACCGGTAACGGTATTAATGCTGAAGAGAAAGGATCCCTTAAAAACATCGGCGGTGAAGAACCCGCGTTGCAAGTTGAAGGCCAATTCCAGTACCCCAGTGACGATGGTACCAATATCCAGCTGTCTTACACAGCTGACGAAAATGGATTCCATCCCCAAGGTGCTCACCTCCCGACTCCCCCTCCAATCCCAGAGGACATCCAAAAGGCTCTTGCATACCTTGCCACTGCCTCTCCTCAGCCTGAAAACTAATCCCTATCATGTTTGAACTAGGTTAAGCACTACTCAATGTATTATTATTAATGTATTCCTCAATAACACTATTTTCTATTGTAGAGTACCTTACTGCCTAATTTAATCTAAATTTTTTGTACATAAACATTTTAATTGTAAATATATGCGACTTTATACTATAAATCAATGTATTTTTTTTAAATTTAATCTGAACTATTGATCCGACCTTAAGAACATAATACCTACGATCGTTGTGTAGTCAAGTTATTAAATAGAATGTATATATTACAAAACCACATGTGACATTTGAAACTCGCTGTGTCCTAAAAAGCTTTAAACTCATCGTTTAAGATAAATGTAGAAATGCCTGTAACGTAAAGCACGAAACTAAACAAATCGTGTTAATAAACATTTAAGTTAGAAAGATAAAATTATTGTTTTCTTTACTTGAATGTTTATCAAAGAGTAGCAAGTTGTGCGGTTTATTGATGTCATAAAAGCAATGCCATTTATTTACTTGCTGAAGTACCACGGCCAAAAATATTTAACTGGTTTAGTGTTCCAAAAGACCTTGGCCGACATGAAAAATACTGACATTCTTTATGCCGTTTTATTAATATTTACTTATTTTAAACATCAAAGTAAATTACTTTAAAAAATGAATACTTTTTAGCCTCTTCAAAGTTACCGCAGTCCCATCTTCTTTACGCTTTTAGAATGACTACATAAATATAGCATAATCCTTTATAAATTATAAGATTCCAGGCATGCTCTCTGAATTTAAACATAAAGTAGGTACCTATCATGTCTTGTAATGAGTTGTGAATGAATGAGTCAAGGCTAGAGTTAAATTAAGTAGAAACCACATGAGGTCATTTTTGAGTATAATTTATAAACGTAATAGTTTGATTCTATAATAGTTTCCAGTTTACCTTATCCTCATCCTAACTAAATAATATTATTCGATTATTATAATTAATGTGAAATTGTGTTTGTTTCGACCAATTTCACGACTTAAGTACTTCACAGACAACCAGTTTACGAAATTCTTTAATAATCAAGGATAGAAGGATATAAGGATATAAGATACCTCTTCTTTAGCAAAAAGAATGTTCCTGAGCGAAAGAGCGAGAACACGGGCGAAGCTGTGGACAGAAAATTATTTACCGTTTCTAGTAATACATGAATCTATTATGAAAGATTAAAACGTAATAGAAAATTTGATAAACAAAAGTGAAATAAAGTTTGTAATTCTTCATTGGCGTCACACATTTTTAATTTTACTTTTACGAGTAAATAAGTAGGTAGGTACCTACTAAAATTGCCAAAGTGATCGCTTTATAAAACTTTATGTATTAGGAGAAATTATTGTTATTTTTAATTTTAAATAAATTAAATGGGTCCAATTATACAATACAAACTTAGAATATAATTATACTTAATATAAATGTATATAACGTCAAATTGAAACAAAAAAACAATTGGGATAATAATTGCTGTTATTTATAAAAGTTGCTTTATGTGTTAAAATTTAGTCTCGATCTTCATATTTAATACATGTTTATAATTGTGTAATATATGCATAATTATTGTATATATGGATCTATTTTCGCAACGCACAACGTTTGGTTAATTCATCAGTGCTTCTAATAAATAGTGATATATTTAAGCATAATATCTTTGCACAAGTAAAGAAAAACTGACAGTCAAACCATCTTCTATTATTGAAGTTGATATTTATTGCAGCCGCCCATGGATACCTGCAATTCAAGAGTCACAAATGACGTACCCCTCCTTTTGAGTCTGCCCCAGAATTAGAAGGAAGGGGGCTTCGATAACCTCATTCACTCGGTAAAAAGCAATAAAAATAGCTTACGAAGTCAAGAAACCGCTTTCCTGTAAGACCGGCACTCCCAAGGGTAAAATGTAGGTATATCTATAAATAATTTAGCCAAATTTATAGGTATTTATATATATACATATATAGATGCTGCACTCTAATATATTTCTAATACACCTCTAATATACCTAGGATCTCAGCAAAATGAAAGTTTTCGTATACACGGTTCTTCAAATAGAAGTTTTTTGACAGTCTCTTCTAATTGTGTCCTAGTTATGATTTGTTATATATTGTGTCATGGTTGTGGATTTTTAATTATCGCGAAATCACTGATAGTAATAACTAAGTTAAATTGGCGATAATTAAAACTATGTAGAGGAGCATAAAGAAATCACGCTTGAAATACCTGTTAATTTTCACTAAGCGTCTAGATAACAATATATGTTACATTTTAGTATAACTTTAATAAAAACATGTATCCTTTTAGCATTTCACAAAGATATTCCTTTAATAAGAAATAATTTAGTTGAATGTTTTAATATTGTCAGTTTTGTACTACAAACAATAGTAAACATGTAATTGACTGCCCATAACCTCCTTTCTAAGGAGAGGCCTATGTCCAGCAGTGGACTATTAAAGGCTGTTAATGTGATGACTGGCATAGTGTTAAGCCTTATTAGTAGGTAATATTGGATTTACTTAATTTAATGTTGAGGAGAAGACATAAAAATATTCAATCATCAAATTTTATGGACACGTTGGCACCTAAGCTAAGCTAAGTACCTTTTTCAGCCTCATAATCGAAGTACGTATATTTAAGTTCACGTTTTACACTTATTTGTACGTTGATTTAACTAGCCTTAAAGATTTAGATGATGATAACATGTAAGTAATGATTATGTATTTTAGTACTGTAAAACTTCTTCATATTATCGACAATTGATAATAACTATTTTATTTTATATAAACAACAAAACATATACTTACATAAAAGGCAGGCCATGTCTAGCAGTAGACGTCTTTCATCTGAGATGACAATGATGACATACATAAATGTACGGCAAACTAGATGCAAAGCAGGGGAACGAAATGTATAGGACAAATCGTGAGCAATAAATGTGCCAATGTTACATAAATGTGTCAGTGTCACAAAGTATCTATGACAATAGCAATACAGACTACATGTACGATTCTATCGATTGTATATGTATCAATTAGCGTCAATGCGTATAATGTAATCCTAATTGAATGTATAAATGCACTGACTGACTTTGCTCGTAACGTCTTGAACCGTATAAATAACTTTCACATGTAGCGGCCCCCAAATAGTAGTCTAATAATTAAAAATCAATTTCTAAGTATTACTTTTCATTTCATGGGTTTCTATCATTCGATCACTATGCAACTTTTTATCGTTGCTAGAGATAAAGCATCGGTTTAACTAATACCAGGAATTCATAACTTATTTAATGTTACAAGAAAAGAAAACATGCAGAAGTTACAGTACAAGCAGTAGGTTATAGATGTCGTTTTTGTTGATGACTCACTAGTGTTTAGGTTTGCTCCATCTATCGTCAGATATATGAAGGTTTTAGTAGCATGGTCACATAAATATTGTCAATTAGATCTTAATCATTGTTATCGATGATATAATAGTATATATTTGCTACGTAGTTTTGAAGAATTTGGGAAGATGGCACTTTTAAAAAACGAAACCATTTTTTTTGAGCTTAGAAAAACTTAATTCTTAATTTCTAAAATGACCTACTGTTTAGAAGTCGACCTTTTAATGTTGCTCCTGATTTTGATGTAATCCATTTTCCGTTTTCATACCGTTATTTGGTAAAATAAAAGTCAAATGATTTAGTAGTAGACTTGAAACAATTTTATTGAAATCTGAGTATTGTTAAACAAATATTGTAAAACTGCAGCTCTTCCTAAAATAGTGTCAAACCACGAAAATGAAATAAAAATGTTCATAATCGCGCCTAAACATAAAAATCGAGACTTTTGTCGCCTTATGAATAAGCTGGAGTGTGGCGTGAGCCGGGGGGGGGGGGGGGGGGGGTGAACATCCATGCCATCTTCAATCTATATATAAACACCCTCCTTGCGGGGCTCAGCAGTCGACATGTTGGTCGTTATTTAGACGATGTGTGCGTCAATAATCTCTTTTATGCTGACGACATGGTGCTGTTGAACGCCAATGAGCACCTTAGTCCTTATTGGCAATTTGTGAACAGTATGCAAAAGATCACGGGCTTGCTTACAATGTAAATAAAAGTAAATACATGGTATGTCGGGCGGAGACTAAAGGTTGTCCCAATGTTGGGAGACACTCATTTATCATACATTCAAAACTCATAATTTTGTCTCATACTGTACTCATCTTTAGGCATAAACTTCATATCCATAATAATTAAAAATAGAACCATCATATCCCTGAAAGTTTACAGTGCGAATCATCTTTTGGCATACATTTCAACCCTATAATAATTGAAAGCAAGCAGCAAGCATGCAGCAGGCAAGCAAGAATGCAGCATGCAGCATATCTGTCTGTGTCTGTGTAATTTAAGCCCGCGTAGGCGCTGCAGGGCTCCGGCGGTCCCTATCGGCTCAGCTAGCGGGCCGCCTCGCCCCTCCGCGTCTACGCGGGCTTAAATTAAACTCTAGGGATGGGACAGACAAGACTACTCGTACATGGTGTCGGGTGTTTGCAGCGATCCGTTTCTTTCGCTAACTTTTGAAGCAAAACATATGACTTTTTAAAGAGAATACTTAAATTTAAGGTTCAAAATGAATTTTATGGCAAAATTTCATAATAATTTTATCTCTGAGATAACTAAATTTTATTTTACACAAAGGTTTGGTAAAAATATTTAACTAAATAACTAACTCAATCATTTTAGCATAATATTTTTCTTTAATAAAATGAACAGATTTTTGGTTAAATTCACCAATGTCACTCTATTGAATTCACCATGTGAATTCTATGTCAGCGATCGAAAGGGCCACTGTCTCTGACGAACCCAAGTCACTGCTGCTCAGTTTTCAGTAAAGACATACCCTGTGACTAAACGTCTTTTTTTTACGTGTGGATACCCCCTCGGACCGTCACCCTACCGACTTAAACCACACGGTGTGCCACTCTGCCTGTAATAGGAGGGATCAGGGAACA